TTTTATTATTCTTTTTTTTTATTATTTTGAGTGAAGTGAGCCCATAGACAGTAGACTTTTATTTTATTTATTTTTTCAAGGAATTTGTAATCTTAATTATTCAATCCACGAAGGGATTGATGGTGTGATTTTTTTAAAGTAAGTGTTGCTTAGGAATTTATTACTTGTTATTGCTACGGGAAGTAGACCAAGTTGTGGAGCTAGCCTTGAGTCAAGGACGATTGAAACACAAGAGTTGTTCCCCCTTAGTCCATTTCAACTGTTATTCTCCCCACTTTTGTGCGTTTGTTGGCACTTTATTTTTCTAGCAAAAAGTGGTAGGCAAGCAAAATCCTAAACCTCCTCAAATCTCTTATCAGAAGAGTTTCTATAATGATTAGCATGACCTCGGGTGTTGCTTGCTTTTAATTCTGTTTTTACTTTCTGTTATAACCGGAACTGAAGGCGGACCTAGCCATTGGAATGTGAAACAATTATTATCAATTGATTGCAATATCCTAAGCCTTAAAATTAAATCAACTAAAGCCATGCTATCACGATGTCTATTAAGAATTTGAGCAAATATTTCAACTAGTACTATGTGAACTATTCTTTGATTGGAGCACAAGTTAGGAATTGGGCCATGGAGTCCCTACATATCACCTCTGTAGAATCATTTGTGGTGATATAATTAAAGAACGTTGCTTATGCCCGGAAAACCTCCCACATTGGTTATTCGCTACTTGACTCATAAAATATAAGGAGAAATTCACAACGGAAACTTGGAAAAAACTCTTTGACTTGGTGAACTTAAAATTGAGTCAATTTGAGTCCCTTGTTAAATGTTTAATGGTTATGATCATTTATATTGCATACGTAATGTGCATCATGCATGCTTCTTAGATCTGGTAACCTTTACAATATCAAATTTGGTAGTGTTTACACAAGGAAATCAATCATGGACATAACCCACCTCCCTCTAACTTCTGATTCTGAAGGAGAGTTTGAAAACTAAACTTCCTCTACTACACAAGTAATTCCTGCACCTATGGCTGAAGCTACATTAATGGATTACTTTGCACCCTTGGCCACTGTGCCACCCACTTGCATTGTCTTACCTGAGACTATTGCCCAAAGTTATGGCATTCGCCCTCAGATTATGAGCATGTTGCCAAAATTCCATGGATTCAACCAAGAGGATCCATACCAGCACCGAAACAAATTTGTGATGATGCTAAACACTATAAGAAAGTGAGATTTATCTTTGAGGAATTTAGGCTTAGGTTATTCCCTTTTCTCTAGAGGATAGGGTTACTCTCTAGTTACATAACCTTCCAGCCAATTCCATCACCACTTGAGCTGAGCTAAGTAAGAAATTTTTTAAGAAGTACTACCCTATAAAGAAGACCAATACCATGATAGATACCTTTAGGAATTTTTGGTAGAAAGATAATGAGGTTTTCTTTGAAATATGGGAGAGGTTTCAAGACCTATTAATTCAGTGTCCTCACCACAAAATTGACGCCACTGAGCAAGTCAGAATCATATATGAAACTAGAAATACGGTAGAAAGCATGAACAATGGTGCGTTCTTAGTAAAATCACCTACTTAGACTATGAAGTTTTTCCAAAAATTTTCCGAAAATACCCAACAATGGGATAGGGATCCTATCAAAGAGTCTACCACAAATACAAACGATAAACCTAGAGGTATGTATGAGGTCAATCCTAACCCCGAGTTCAAAATGATGCTCAAAGGTTTAGTCTAAAAGGTAGACGCTTTAGAGGACTCCCATAAAAATACCAAGGTCTAATTACCGAAATTGACAACAACATTTGATAAAATTTTCAATTCTAACAACGTATTGCAGAAATTGACAACAACGTTTGTTTTTCTTAAACCCGATAACAACAACGTTTGGGGAGATAACAACCATTGCCGGATTCCGGTCAGTTAAGCCATGTGGCAAATTTTTTTGCTGACATGTCTATTTTTGAAATAAAAAATGCCACGTAGACTTAACAGCCGATCTCAATCATTGATTTTTTTTAATCTAACGGTTTGGATATAATGCCTAGTTATAACTTAAAATCTAATTTTACATCTAAGGTCAAAAGTGTAATTTTTGAAATCAGTGAAGCTTGTACCTCAACTTTTTTCATCCATGTTGTGGCCTTCTACACCTTTTCACCCTCCCATCAATGAAGAACTGCATCTTCTCTTTTGAAGCGGTTGTTAATTTTTGATATCTTAGTTTCACAGTTTCATTAACAAAATTAAATAAAACCTGAATCGATACAAAAGCTCTTGAATTTTAAAAAAACTTTAAGAATTCCCTGGTACCAAAATCAATACCAAAAATTCCTTGTATCTTCAATAGTGAGGAAGGAATTGGTATTAATTTTGCCGGAAAGGGAATCACCACATCACACACCAAATCTCCTTCAAGACTACAAGATTCAATTAGCTAAGACTTCAATTCCACATCTGCAACTCTGTTCCTATTAAAATTCATCATCTCTTAACCTTCCCTTTCTTCATTCATTTGTCTTCTTGGCTCTACTCTTTTACTTTTCATTATATTCTTACTAATAGTTTTTATTTGTTGATGTTTCACAGCTGATTGCAGGTACCAGCTAAGGTTATGTAATGAAAGACAAATTGTACACCACTTCAACCCCTTTTCTTTCACTCTGCTTTCATTTCATCTGCTCTTGCCACCACCATCATTTGGTAACTCACCCCCCTTACAAAAAAAAATAAAATTCATTTCACATCACCTCACCTCTCTTTCTATCAGCATTTACTGGTTAGTCGCCAAGGTTCTCATCAATTTGTAAAGAATAAGAGAATCATCAAAAAAAAAAAAATCTCTCATTTATCCTCTCTTCTCCAATTGCTCCATCTATGGCATTTGGATTTTATGTTGAATATGTTTCGATTTCAATTTACTTTTACTTTGTATTTCTACTTCACCTCTTCTGGATGTTTCACAATCAAAATTTGATATTCTATTTACTAGGTTCTACACCCATATTTGTTGGATAGAAAGGAAGTATCAGTTAAGCCATGTTGTATTTCTACGTGGCATTTTTTATTTCAAAAATAGACATGTCAGCAAAAAAATTTGCCACATGGCTTAACTGACCGGAATCCGGCAATGGTTGTTATCTCCCCAAACGTTGTTGTTATCGGGTTTAAGAAAAACAAACGTTGTTGTCAATTTCTGCAATACGTTGTTAGAATTGAAAATTTTATCAAACGTTGTTGTCAATTTCGGTAATTAGACCAAAATACCAAAGTCATGAGTGTCACCATCTTTCCATGTGAACTTTACGAAGATCCTTCCCATAATGCCCAGAACTGTCCTGAATGGTTAAACTCTCCTGACAGAGAAGATTTCATGGCGTTCAACATTGCTAACAGATAAAACTTTCTAAGAGGCAATGCCGCCAACCAAAATGTGGACCGTTCAAGATTATCATATTCTAACAACAATGCTTACACAGTTCCACCAGGATTTCAAAAATTCAATGGGCAACGCAGCGATGCACCTTACAATAATAGAGTGAGGGTCCCCACTTATAATTCTCAGCGAATGAGTAATCGTAGGGGATACGGTCCATCTAGGCGCCGTGCCCCTCAGAAATCATTTCTCGAGGACGTTCTAACTCATTTCATACAAACCACTCAAGCTTCACTTGAGATGAATGCTCAAGCAATGCAACAAATAGAACAAAAACTCGATGAGAGGGACAAGTTTCTGGGACAACCCATCCCGAATCCCTAAGGCAAAGATTTCGCTTTGCTAACAAAGACCACTTTCCATCTCAACCTAATGTAGAGGTAAAGGTTGTCCAAGCACTTAGGTCTGGAAAACAAGTCGATAATTAGATTAACTATAACCCTAACACTAGTACTGTAACTCTGATTACCACGACACCTATTGCCCCACCTAAAGGTCTTGCCAAGGAGGCGAGTGCCTCGAGGCATACTAGACAAATTGAGGTTGAAGAAACATCTCGGCCTTATGTTCAAGCCATACCTTATCCACATAGACTCACAATGTCTGATAAGGAAGTCCAATTGAGGAGGTAGTTGATGTGTTAGCATAAACATACATTTCCTCACTACCATTAAACAGATACCTTCCTATGCTAAGCTCCTAAAAGAATTGTGTACTGCTAAAAGGTGAACAAATTTCCCTAAAAGAGCATTTGTTGCGGAAGAAATTTTTGCACTTGTCTAACATGATGGAGTGGTAAAATATAAGGACCCTGGAAAGCCAACCATACCCTGCAAAACTTAGTGTGATGTTTATAGGTAAAGCCTTGCTAAACCTAGGAACGAGTCTTAATCTCTTAAGTTACTCCTTATACCTAATTTTAGTTCTAGACAACATGAAACTAAACAGTATGTCTTTACAACTGGCAGACATATATTGAAAAAGACCTGTAGGAACCGTTGAGGATGTCTGACTTTTATTATCTTATTGATTTTGTGGTATTGGATACTGAACCTACTACCGATGACTCGGTTCCCATCATCCTTGGCCATCCCTTTTTTGCCACCTTTAATGTTATCATTAACTGTCAGAATGGTTCTATGGTACTCACTTTTGGATTCATAATATTGAAATCAATGTCTTTAATCTTGGCCAACAACCCCATGATCTATCTCTATCTAAACATGCATGTCTTTTGGACTCTCTACCCTATTAGATGGTCCATAATTTTTATCCTGAAGATCCAGTTGTTCAATGTCTTGCCATGCATAATTTAGACATTGACTTAAATCATTCCATAGCCGAAGCCAATGCTCTTTTAAAGTTTGTGCATGTCTTTGACCCAGAAGATCTTGAGGCTCTTGAAATTGAGTCAGTTTTAATTATTAATCCTGATCCTATAGTTGGGACCACTATTCCACCTCTTGTTTCTCTGATTCCCTTGCCACTAGAGTTGATATATGCCTAGTTAGATTCAGAAGGTAGTCATCCTGTTATCATTTCTTCTTCTCTTACTAGTGAACATGAAAGTCAACTTTTAGATGTTATTCAAGAACATCGTTTTATTATTGCCTAGACTATTCATGATATCGAAAGCATTAGTCCATCTATCTGTTCTCATCGCATCCATCTTGAAGATAATGCCAAAACCTCTCGTGAATCGCATAGACGAGTCAACCATGCTATGAAAAAAGTAGTTAGAGCTAAAATTCTTAAATTCTTAGATGCAAGTGTGATTTACCACATTTCTGATAGTCAGTTGGTGAGTCCTATCCAAGTGTTTCCTAAGAAGGCCGGTATGACTGTAGTTACCAATGATAAGAACAAACAAGTTGCCACTAGACTTCTCACTAACTAGTGTGTTTGTATCGACTATAGAAAGCTTAATACAGTCACTCGGATAGACCAGTTTCTTCTTCCTTTCGTTAATCAAATGTTGGAATGCTTGGTTGGTCACTCTTTCCATTATTTTTTGGATGGTTGTTCTGGTCATAAACATATACTCATCGCTTCAAAGGACCACGAGAAACCAGATTCACAAGTCCCTTTGGAACCTTTGCTTATGCACGTATGCCTTTTGGGTTGTGTAATGCGCCTGCTACTTTCCAGAGGTGCATGCTACACATCTTTAGTGACATGGTAGAATGTTTTATGGTAGTGTTCATGAATGACTTCTCCATCTATGGTTCATCTTTCAAGGTGTGTCTAGAACATCTTTCCCAGGTTTTCAAGTGTTGCAACGAAAAGAATTTGGTACTTAATTGGGAAAAGTGCAGTTTAATGTTTACAAAAGGAATAATGTTAGGACATGTGATATCTTCTAAAGGTATCAAGGTTGATAAAGCTAAGGTAGATCTTGTAACATCTTTGCCCATTCCTAAAATCATTACGGATATTTGTGCCTTCCTTTGCCATACAGGATTCTACTGACACTTTATCCAAGATTTTTCAAAGATTGCTCGTCCCTTAACCAATTTATTGCTTAAAGATGTACCTTTTGATTTCACAAAAGACGGCATGGGTGCCTTTTTAAAGCTTAAAACCGCGCTCACTACTACACCCATCATTAAACAACTATATTAGAGTCAACCTTTTGAGCTTATTATGTGTGATGCTTCAGATTATACGGTAAAAGCTATCCTCGGCCAGCGTATAGATAGTAAGCTACACGTCATATATTATGCTAGCAAAACTCTTAATGATGCTCAATGTAATTATACTATAACTGAGAAAGAGTTGTTAGCCATAGTATATGCTCTTGATAAGTTTCGCCCTTATCTTTTAGGTTACTATACAATTATCTTCACGGACCATGCCGCCATTAGATTCTTTTTGGCCAAAAAGTAAACTAAACAACTACTAATTTATTGGATTATAGTGCTTCAAAAGTTTGAAATTAAAACAAAAGACAAAATGGGACTCAAAATGTAGTGGGTGACCACTTATCTAGGTTAGAGAATCCTGAGCATTCTGAGTCATTTCTGAGAACTTTGCTAATGAGATTCTTTTTGCC